CATTGTTAGCCAAAGAAATCTGTGAAAGAGCTTTGGCTAGTTCTCTCTGTTCCTTTCTCCTAAACCCAGCTGTCAAGGGTAATACCTTCCCAGTGGCCACCAGGGTGGTGAAGGGACATCTGTGTCAGTTGGCACCATGAGGACCTGACTGTCTTGGAGAGATTCCTGCTCTTTTCCAGACTCACCAGCACCCATGCTTCCCTCCATCTTGGTCTCCCCTCTCCTCCGTCACTGCCCCAGGTCAAAGCCGCAGTGCCAAGTTGGGGACTTCTTTCTCAGCCCATGCCCTGTGGTTCTAGGTTGGCTCACTCAACTCTCCAGTCAACTCCAGTCCTCTGCTACTGACTGCAGTGCATGTTGCCAGCCTGGCCTCTCCCCTGAAGGTCCTTATTGTGAACTCATCTGCCTCCCTGGCCAGTTTTGGATGCTAAGTATCTGCCAACCTGCCCCCAAACCAGTCGCCCTTCTTGGGCCTTGCCTGCAGCATAGCCATCAGTACAACCAGCCGTTTTTTGTGGCAGTTCTTGGGGTCCAAGACCATGGGTCCTCCTCACTCTCCTCTCACCACAAAACAGAGCTCATCCAGGAGCAGATCTGGTAGCTCCGCCTCCATGGCTGGCCAAGGATGTGGCCATCTGGCACCTTTCATACCAACACTGGGGGTCACCTACACTCAGCTGTCAATGAACAGTGACACCAGCTGCTGTCTTGGCATCTTTAATTCATCACAATAAAGCACCCGGATGATGTGTACACAAGGCCAGTCCTGCCCAGGGACACCCTGTGCTCTCCCATTGAGTGCTGCTCACAGAAGCAAGCCCACCTCTCCAGCCCTGCTGCTTTGTCCTCCTTGCCCTCCCCCTGGGCTGCCCTCACCATCCTGTCCTCACAGTCCCAGCACACCTGCCGCACTTCCTGCTGCCCGACGCTCTGCTCCTCTCCCCGTGCATCAAATCACACTCTCCAGAAGTCCGTGTCCTCTCCTCATAGCCATGTGCCTGGGTAACTGAAGTCAGTATTTGCACCGTGAATCACGGGTCATAGCACATTTGATTTGCTTTTGTTCTTCAATGATTCACTCCACTGGTAGAAACGGCAGCATAAACTAGGCAGCATGGGCTGGATTCATTCACTAACTATTTCATTTGGTAAAAAGGAAAAGCATAGGAGGTGACAGAGTCTGGGGGTGTGCTGCGAAAGCCCTCATCAAGTCACATGGCTAGTGTATGTTCACCTGTCCACCAAACAGTGGGGTCACTGGGCACTACAACTGAGGTAGGTTTTCTCATTACAGGACAAGACTGTCCCTGGAAAGCCACAGTTTGTATTATGTGGTGCAAAGTAAATTTTAAAAGGAAATAGTAAAAATATTGAATCCTCACCATTTTAAAGAACAACATGATTGGGTGAACAAAGCCATTTCATGCAGACCCTCTGGGTGTCCCTGACTGGCATCCGCACGCACGGATTGTGCACAAATGTCCCCTCCCCTTTCCTGCAGGCAGGTGCATTTCTCCACCCCTTCACAGCCTGACACTGAAATCCTCAGGAAGGCCAAGGGCAGTGCATGAGTCATGGTGAGAGAGTGCAGTATATTTTTGGTCTATGTCCCAGGTCCTGACACACCAGTTCCCAAAAGTCCTGAGACAAGGGACTCTTTTGCATGCTAATGAGATGGCTGGTGCTTGGTGGCCTAGATGACCTCAGGATGGGGCTGGTTTCCAGGGAACCCCCTTTGTATTAAAGGGATAGAACCTTCAGTCCAACATCCCCCTACCTCTGGGAGGAGAGTAGGGCTGAAGCTCCAGGGTCAGCAGTGGCCAGTGGTATCATTGGTCATGCCTGCTGAATGAAGCCTTCATAAACCCAAAGACGGAGCTTGCCAGTGGCTGCACACAAGGAGATCCTGCAAGGAGCACCCAGAGAGGGCGTGTTGCCCCTCCCCACACCAACCCTGTTGGTTTCCTCCACCTGGCTGCTGGTCCCCATCCTCTGCAACACCCTGTACAATAACTGACCAAGTGTGAGTAGGGACTGAGTTCTGGGGGCTGTTCTAGCAAACAAACTGCGCTCATAGAGCGGGTCCCAGGAAAGCTGCTTTGCAGTTGGCTGGTCAGAG